TGGTGTGTATACTGATTGATCTGCTCCAGGGATGGATCTCCCGTGCGCCATCTTGGATTCTAGGGTCCCGGGTCGGGTAGAAGTAATTAAGTTTCTGAGGCTGTGCCAGAGACTTACAGTGCCGAGGCATATTTCCAGAGGGTGAGGGGGGTTTATATTCCCCGGTTCAGGGTGTTGTGTCCCGCTTGTCACGATGGAAAGTTGTGCTGTTACGGAGGTGGCCTCAGAGCTCTGTCACTGAGCAGCCATTTTAGGAGCTGGCTGCACATGCGCTCAATTTTTGGTGCTTTAAATGTTAAATATTTGGCCTCTTTTTTTGTCCAAAATGAGATTTTTTTTTGTCTCTTTTTGACCCCAAAGTTCTAGTTTTTCTGTAACTTTTTTTGTTGGGTCACCTGGTATCTTTTACAGGTTTTCCTATTGCTTAATATCCTGGCCATTTCTTCCTCACAACCCAAAATGACCAGCCCCTCCTTATCCACTGGCCTAACTAATTACCACTCATTTCTTTGCTTCCAGAGGTTTGGTCCCTTCCCAAACCTTTTAATTTCCCTTCTTTTTAGACACTGGTAGGTTTTTCTGCTTCCTCTTGAACCATGTTTTTGTTTAAAAACAAATTAGGGCTTAGTGGGATATAACATCCTCAGGGCAATATATAAAAGAAAATATGACACCGGGGAGACTTAGGTGGGACATTAGACCTAATGATGGATTGAAAGACCCAGAATTATTAAAATAATTGTATCATTTTTTCAATATTTGCAAACAAAAACAATTGAGTATAATTATCTTAAGCCAAAAAACTAAATTAATAGTTATAGCAGAAAAAATAAATAAAAAAATCTTAAAAAGAAAAAAGTATACCATTTATGGATACACAAGAATACCAAATCACAAACTCAAAAACTAGAGGAGAACCTACAGAAATTTGGAAATGAAACCACACAGAAAAAAAAAAAATGAAAAAGTATCTAGATTCTAAAGACTATAAAGAACAGAAAGTGACAAGAGGATGACAAAGAATTAGAGTCCAAAGAATCATCAATGGAGATCATCCCACAGAAGATAATAGATTTTTTTTAGGAATTTGAATGGAGGGGTTAATTGAACACTTAATAAACATTCTGGATTGAAAATCTGTAATCTACCACAGAAAGATACCCCATATAGAAATATGCTAGAACAGAGAAGAGGTAACCAAACCCCATATGTGGGGAATCCCACCTCCAATAGATTTGAACCTTTAGAAAATAGGTTCCCAAGGAACAATTACTCACCTAGGAATAATTACCATACAGAAGGTTACCAAACACTATCAGGCTGTACGGGGTCACCCCCCTGGCATACCCTATAGAGGTCAGGCTAGAGGTAATTACAGGTGGGTAATGGGCCTAAGTTGGACCACCATCAGCAGCAAGGGGGGGGAATGGAGGGGCTGGAAAGAGCCCTACAGAATTTCACAGTACCCCCAAAGAACATCAGTACAAGAAAAGAGAAGAGAGTGCAGAGGGGCTGGAACAAAAAGTAAAAGGGAAATATAAAATCAGGGATTTTTAATATAACGAAAGTTCAGTTTACAGAGGAATAATTACAAGTTTTTAAATCGGGGATTAAATTATGCCCCAACTAAATTTTTAGATACGTTTGAAATATTCATATACATAGAAAAATTAGCCAGAAAGTTAAATATTAAAAAAAATTTGGAAAATAGAGATGAGTGAATCGAACCAGGCGAAGTGGAATTGGTTTCGAATTTCAGGAAAAATTCCTCCTCCTCCTCCTCCTCCTCCTCCTCCTCCTCCTCTCGGCTCTTGAAGCCTAGAAACCCTTTTAATTAGTTAAATTCGCATCGAATCAAATTTCTCCCGCAAATTCGGCGAATCAGCCGAATCAAATTTTTGAATAATTCGCTCATCTCTAGAAAAGAACTAAGATGATAATATAAATATACAAACATACTTTATCCATAATGGATTAAAGAATAGATCCACATTTAATCCAAAATCCATTCCATTTCAATATATAAAAGGTCTTTAAAAACATGGTTCAAGAGGAAGTAAAAAAACCTACCAGTGTCTAAAAAGAAGGGAAATAAGATTTGGGAAGGAATCAAAGCCCTGGAAGGGCTAAGGAAGGGGGGGAGGGGGCTGGTAATTTTGAAAAAAAAAGAATAATATGTGGAACAAATGACCAGGAAATTAAGGGATAGGGAACCATCTATAAAAGATACCGGGTGACCCAAAAAAAAAAACACTTAAAGAAAAAACTAGAACTTTGGGTCAAAAAGGGACAAAAGAAGATTTCGGACAAAAAAACTGGTCAAATATTTAACAATTAAGTACCAAAAATTCCCGTTATTTACCAGGTCCAAAAAGATCTACAAAAACAGAATTAAACCACCGGGAAGATCCATTATTGACGGAATAGGGTCATTATATTCAAGATTGGGTGAATGTTAAGATATTTTTCTACAGGAATTAGCTAGCAAAGGGGGAGCTTATCTTAAAGACAGCAGAGACCTTATATATGAAAAACACCCTCCTAGCAACGGAGGACTTAGAGACCCTATACACTAATGTTAAAAGGATGGGCTGAAAGCCACTGAATGGGCCTTAAAAACACTATCCAACATAAACCCCCTCCAAAGAAAATTCATCTAAAAGGTTTGGAGATGGCAATTGCCAATATTTACTTTTGGTATGGAGGTGAGTTTTATAACCAAGTTAAAGGGGTGGCAATGGGGGCAAGATATGTGCCAAGTGTGGCTAACATCTGTCTGAATAAATGGGAGATGGAGGAGGTTTTTTCTAAAATGTAGCCCCAACTAATATTATATAAAAGATTCATTGACAACATTTTTATTATTTGGAAGGGAGAAAAAGATTTAAAATTGTTCTTACAAGGGTAAAACACCAACCAATATGATATTAATTTTACTATTACCATCAGTGATGAGAGGATGCACGTTTTAGATCTTGAGATTTGGAAAGAAGGACTATCACTCCTCACACACACCCATTTCAAAGAAACAAACAGGAATGGATATATATCAGTCAGTAATTGCCACCATCTAGGATGGGTAAGAGCCATCCGAAAGGGACAGTTCATGAGGATTAAATGTAATTCCAAGTGAGATGAGGATTTTATGGCCCAATCAAACATGTTAATGGAAAGATTTATAGAAAAGGGGTACAAGAAGAATGAATTAGAAAGAACCAGGGACCTGCTAAGAGGAATGGATAAAGAGAGATTATTAACAAAACAGGAAAGGAAAAAAAGCAAAATTCGACATGGCCTTTATAACAGGTTATAATATACAATATAGGGAGGTGGAAAAGAGTATCAGGAAATACTGGCAATACTATTGAGAGACCACTTCCTCAAAAATATTTTACCAAAAAAAAATAATTTTATTTATAAAAAAAAGAGCACCAGGGTTAAGAATTTTATATAGCCACATATATAATAAATGCCCCTAAGAAAAACATTACCTTTCTGGAAAAGTAAAGTTTTTTTAGATGCAAGAGATGTAAGGCCTGCAGAATAACAAGCGATAAAAACAGATTCACACCTGAATTTTATTCAGCAGTAGGCAAAAGATATGATATAAAAAATGTATTACATGTGACAGTAAATATGTTACTTACCTTTTAACTTGTTCATGCGGATTGTATTACATTGGACGCATGACTAGAAAGCTATCTAAACACATTAGTGAGCATATTAATAATCTAAAAAATTATTATAAAAAATACAGTTTATCAAACCACTTTGTGGTGACACATAACCAGGATCCCACCCTTATTGGTATAGACAGAATAACCATACACCAGAGAGGGAAATCTGAAGAAATGAGACAAGATGGGACAAGATGAGACAAGATGGGTTTATGAATTTAATTCTCTGGCCCCACAAGGATTAAATATAGACATTGATTTGAACTGCTTTTTGACAAATTTTTTATGTGCCTATTGCCATTGTGGGGTCTGGTAGTTCATATATAATTTTCAGGACATCTGGTATAAGATCACTTAGCGCAATCTCTGGGGGGTAGGGGTTAAAATAAGAGAGGTAGTGGGGGGAGAGGGAGGATTTGGTGTTCATATATTCATATATCAGTCTGCTGCATTTATTTTTCCCATGTTTTTTTTTTCTTATTTCTTTCACATTTTTTCCACATATTTTTTTTTTTATATTTTTTTCTTATTTTGTCCCCATTTTTTCTTAATTTTTCTCAGTTTTTTTTTTAAATTTTCCTAATAAATTGTTTCCTTATATGTCCCCTTTCTTCTTTTTTTTTTCTATTATATTCTTAATTTTATATTTTTTTTTACTTTGAAAATATTTTTTCTAATTTTTAAAATTATCTTATATATATAAAAAAACACTATATTGCCAAAAGTATTGGGATGCCTGTCTTTACACAACACATAAATGTTAATGGCATCCCAGTCTTCATCTGTACGGTTCAATATTGAGTTGGCCCACCCTTTGCAGCTATAACAGCTTCAACTTTTCTGGGAAGGCTGTCCACAAGGTTTAGGAGTTTGTCTATGGGAATGTTTGACCCTCCTTCCAGAAGTGCATTTGTGAGGTCTAGCACTGATGTCAGACAAGAAGGCCTGTCTCACAGCCTCCACTTTAATTCATTCCAAAGGTGTTCCGCTGGGTTGAGGTCAGGACTCTGTGCAAGCCATTCAAGTTCCTCCACTCCAAACTTGCTCATCCATGTCTTTATGGACTTTGCTTTGTGTACTGGTGCGCAGTCATGTTGGAACAGGAAAGGGCCATCCCCAAAACTGTTCCCACAAAGTTTGGAGCATAAAATTGTCCAAAATTGTGTGGGATGCTGACACCTTAATTGTTCCCACACTGGAACTAAGGGGCCAAGCCCAACCCCTGAAAAACAACCCCACACCATAATCCCCCCTCCACCAAATTTTACACTTTGCACAATGCAGTAAGGCAAGTACTGTACTCCTGGCAACCACCAAACCCAGACACCTCCATCAAATTGCCAGACACTTGATGATGTAAGGCAGCTGCTCAGCCATGAAAACCCATTCCATTAAACTCTCTATGCACGGTTGTTGTGCCACATGAATTTTGGAGGTCTTTAGCTATTGACTCTGCAGACACTTGGCGTCTTCTGCACACTGTGGGCTTCAGCATGCACTTACCCCTCTCTGTCATTTTACGCGGCTGTTGTTCCCAGTTGCTTCCACTTTGTTATAATACCACTAACAGTTGACTGTGGAATATTTAATAGCAAGGAAATTTCACGGGTGGACTTATTGCACAGGTGGTAACATATCATAGTACCATGCTTCACTGAGCTCCTGAGAGCGACCCATTCTTTCACAAATATTTGTAGAAGTAGTCTGCATGCCTAGGTGCTTGTCTTTTTACACCTGTGAGCATGGAGGTGATTAGAACACCTGAATCCAATGACTTGGAGGGGGTGTCCCAATTAGTAATGGGCTGAACGCCCCCGTTTGGTTCGCGGTCAAACATTCAAACCTACCGAAAGTTCGAACATGGACAATTTACTGAATGGTATCTTATCGCATCTAAATATACAGTAAGTTACCACTCAACAACTAAAATACTGCATATTATACCGTTATATTATTAAGTCATGCAGTATTTTAGTTGTGAAACATTCTTTAATGTTTCAGCTGTCAGCGGGGTTCCCCGCTAACAGCTGAAATTCAAAAGAATTGTCGACATTGCCCGACAATTAAAAACATTTTTTTAAAAATGGTGTGGGGTCCCCCCTCTCATCCATACCAAGCCCTTCTGGTCTGGTATGGATTTTAAGGGAAACTCCCACAACAAAAAATAAAAACAAAATGTTGTGGGCCCCCAAAATCCATACCAGACCCTTATCCAAGCATGCAGTTCAGCAGGTCAGGAATGGGGGGGGGGGGGGGGGGGGAGGAGCATGTGGCCCCCTCTAGGATCATACCAGGCCACAGCCCCCCATCCCAAAACACCCCCCATGTTGAGGGCTTTTGGCCTGATATGATTCAGGGGGGGGGCACTCTCTCACCCCCCCTTCCTGACCTGCCAGGCTGCGTGCTTGGATAAGGGTCTGGTATGGATTTGGGGGGGGGGGGGCACACAATTTTTTTTTAATTTGATGTTGTCCCAATGTTGATGGGGACAAGGGCCTCTTCCCCACAACCCTGGCCAGTGGGGAAACCATTTTAACAAGAGGGCCCCCAGATCCTGGTCCCCCCTATGTGAATGAGTAGTGGTCCCCCCTATGTGAATGAGTATGCGGTACATGGTACCGTTACCCATTCACAAAAACACAGTGCAGTAAAAAAATGACAGGAGACAAATCCTTTATTAAAAAAAAAAAAAAAATGTCCCCCAAAGTAGAGCCAACGTCAAACACGATGCCTGCCGCCACTGCCGACCCAAAAAACCCTCTGATCACGACGCTGTCTCCTACTGTCTGAAAGTTGCACTGGGATGACAGTTCTTAAATACTGTGATAACATCACAAGGGAGCAGAGTTACCCCCACCCCCTTGTGACATCATGTGCTGTGATTGGCCAAAGCATTGCACCTGACCTGTGGTCAGATTGCTTTGGCCAATCACAAAGCACTGTCAGGGCGCACTGCGGGTTGAGGCAGGCAAATAGCCCGCAGAGAACACCTTTACCGCTTACGTGTTAAGCAAACACATGAAAGACCCATGTTTAAGTCGAACATACACTCAATTTGAACATGAAGCCCATCACTAGTCCCAATACTTCTGGCAAATATAGTGTATGATCTGTATATAATTTAATTACTGATTTAGAAAGACACTTATTTCCTCCAATATTGCTGCAACAAGCTGACTGTTGCCTATTATGATACAGCTGGAATCATACAGTTTTACCCTTTAGGGGATGTATGGTAATCACTTGCCATCCTGAGGATTTACCCCCATTAATGACCAGGCCTTTTTTTGCTATTCGGAGCTGAACTATTTCAACTGATAATTGCGCGGTCATGGAATGCTGTACCCAAACAAAATCTACGTCTTTTTTTCAAACAAATAAAGCTTTCTTTTGGTGGTATTTTGATTTTTCACACTATAAACAGAAAAAAGACCGAACATTTTGAAGAAAAACAATATTTTTTACTTTCGGCTATAAAAAATATATAGTAAATTCAAAGTTAGCCATAAGTTTACAAGCTTAAGAGAAAGTTGTGAGCGCTCTGAATGAAATGAAGCAGCCAAGCATCAAAAAAGTATACCAAAAACCTCGCAAACATATGAATATAAAAGATGCGGCGCTATATCACAACTATAATTATGCTGAAATATCCAAGGTATATGTGATGATTAGGTGACTAATAAGAAACCACAAATATTCTGTCACAAACAGAGTGACATGCAGTGCAAAACAGTCTTGGTGACAATCCCTCTCCTTCAAAAAGGTGCTTCTTCCACGCGGTGATAGTGAAAAGGTAAAGCTGTGCACTCACCAGATGCACAGTTTAACTGCGCATTTAAAGATGAACTCTTTTCCAAATCCACCGGTTATTTCTTAAAGGTCAGGTCAGGCCAGATATTCCTTCCCCTGTTGTATTGCTGACAATCCACGGTCTCTCTTTTAGGTGGCTCTATAGGTGATAAGTGACTCACCAAGGGCCACAAAAAAAAGGAGACCAATAGCGTGATACCGTTTCAAAAAGGTTTGGATTTTTATTTCCATACAGTATACAGGTAAAGGGAAAAAAACACACTGACCATGAGGTGAATTTAAAAGATGGCCGCCCTTTGATGATGTGCGACTAGCACAAAACGCGTCAGCGAAGGAGCTACAGCGTCACTATCTCTCTGCCGCCGGCACAATGGAGGTCCCGGCGGCCATCTTTTAAATTCACCTCATGGTCAGTGTGTTTTTTTCCCCTTTACCTGTATACTGTATGGAAATAAAAATCCAAACCTTTTTGAAACGGTATCACGCTATTGGTCTCCTTTTTTTGTGGTCCTTGGTGAGTCACTTATCACCTATAGAGCCACCTAAAGGAGAGACCGTAGATTGTCAGCAATACAACAGGGGAAGGAATATCTGGCCTGACCTGACCTTTAAGAAATAACCGGTGGATTTGGAACAGAGTTCATCTTTAAATGCGCAGTTAAACTGTGCATCTGGTGAGTGCACAGCTTTACCTTTTCACTATCACCGCGTGGAAGAAGCACCTTTTGAAGGAGAGGGATTGTCACCAAGACTGTTTTGCACTGCATGTCACTCTGTTTGTGACAGAATATTTGTGGTTTCTTATTAGTCACCTAATCATCACATATACCTTGGATATTTCAGCATAATTATAGTTGTGATATAGCGCCGCATCTTTTATATTCATAGCCATAAGTTTAGACCAAACTTTATTCTGCTACATATTTTTGGTAAAAAAGATCCCAATAAATGTATATTGATTGCTTTGTGTGGAAGTTATAGTGACTAAAAACTATGGTATAGATAATGGAATTTACGTAATTTTTTTTTGCACTAGTTTAACTGACAATTGCGTGGTTATGAATATGGTACATAAATTACATTTACAACCTTTTTTTAAACACAAATAGAGCTTTCTTTCAGTGGTATTTGATTACCTGTGAGCTTTTTATTTTTTGGGCAATGAACAAAAAAGAAAACAATATTTTCTCATTTCTGTCATAAAAAAAATGTGACTAATGTTAGCCATAGAAGCCGTGGGGATCAACACGTTTCAAAAAAAAAAAAAAAAGTCTATTCTGGAGTAGGATCCATGAGGGGAAGAATAAAAGGTATAGTCATGTTCTTGCAGATAGAAAATTCTCCAGATATAAACCAGCTGGTAGGTATGTAAAAAGGTCCTAAGCCCCCTAGGCAGGGAAGACAGATGTGTGGACGAGTCTCTATAAGGGTGCAAGGTAAAGTTGAAGTCCCCACCCAGAATGAGAGTATCGTCAAGAAAGGAGTCAAGTGTAGATAGGAAAGCGTTCAGAACCAGGATTTGGTTCATGTTAGGAAGGTACAGGTTTGCAAGAGGAAATGTACTTGAATAAATTTTGCCTTTAACGAGCAGGCACCTGTCCTCCTGATTTCTGAATTCATCAGGGAGTTACTAGGGGATGGATTTAGAGAGTAGGATACTAGTCCCTTTAAATTTAGAGAAGGTAGAGGGATTATAATATGTCTTGGGGTTATTTTTTTTGGAAAATTTGGGGATCCTGTCTGCCCAAAAATGAGTCTCCTGGAGGAAAGCAATATGCATTTTATGCCTCCAAAGCTCCGCAAGACAACTGGTGCACTTCTCTGGGGAATTCAGCCCCTTGACATTCCAGGAAAGGAACTTGACAGCCATACTGCCTGGTATAAAGCGTCCAAGTCAGTCTACTCCCTGAGAGAGTGAGGGGTGGGGAGGGAGGATATCTGGTAGAAGATGAACAGCTGCACCATCAAATTCTAGGACACCCACATGCAAGGCCCACTGCAGGATTTCTTGTTAGAGGGTAACGGAGTGCAGGCAACAGAGAAAGTCTCTTGGTCTGTCAGGTGAAGTAGCTTGAGGGCCCAGAATTCTGTGTACCCTGTCAATAGTTATGTCCATGGCCGGTGGGCAGTCAAGATATTAGTTAAAAATGGTGGTCACATGCTAGCGAAGCTCTGATTGTGGCACTTATTCAGGGATGCCCCAGTCTAATGTTCTGTCTATGGCTATGGTACTCCAGATTATCAAGGAGCAGATGTAGCTGAATGACCTGGTCTTGTAGGTTTATGGTGAATGTTTGGAGGGTTTGTACAGACTGGGTAACTGAGCTCTGATCTTGCTTAAGCCCTGCCACTCAGAAGTCTAGCATAGACACTTCCTGGGCTAGGTTCTGTATTTCACCCCTCAGAGCGGTTTCCATCCTGGTAGCTCACTCCTCAAACTCTGCACTAGTAGGTAACTGCTATAACAGGGCTCATAGCCGCTGTTCTAAATGGGTGATGAACGGGAGGCCCTGATTGGAGGGAGTAGCTGGAGGTGTACTCACAGTGTCCCATGGTGATGATAGTTGCGGCCCTGTTGCAGGAGCAGGTTCTGGACTGAAGCATAGGCCACCTTGAGGGGCAGGGAGATCCAGGATGTGCAGACTTTCGTCCATATCTGTGGAGGCTGCCAGAGATCTTGGAGAGAGGTCACTGAGCAGTGAGAAAGGTGGTATGGTATGATCGTCTGTCAGCTGCAAGGTGGGATCCGGGACCACGGTACGGTCTGCAGTAGTAGAGGCCTCATGATCAATTGGTGCCATCTTGAAGAGTGCTGGCATGGAGGCTGTCAGCTGGCACAGCTTAAGAAAGTGGTCCATAGTGGTACCGCTTGGTAGGGAAGGTGCACCTGGATCCCTGGA